CGTTGCAACTGAAATGAAAAACTGGATCAAGACTATGAAGAATGGTCATTTTCTGAAGAATGTGAGTGAGTATGGTTTTACCCCGCTTTTAGCAATATTCCAGCAATATCACGGCGGGGGACACCAGAAATGGGCTTCACACATTGTACCCATGTCGGGAATCGAACCCGGGTCTTCAGCGTGACGAGCGAACGCTTTAACCACTAGGCTACCCGACCGCCCCCTGAAGAATATGAAGATAATGTGAGGCATTTATCATTTCAATTGCAATGCCATCAACTGTTCTTGTCATCTGCAGCGGTCATCAACTCATTGGTCAACTGCATAGTTCGGTCAATGCTTCAAAACGAATTAGAGATTTTGTCTGATATGATACTGCGATGTTGTTGTCCTGGATGTAAATAATAACGTAGCTGTAGTTACGAAAGATAATCCAGTAAAATAACACTTACAGAACAATACTTATCTTTAATGTCAATTATATAATGTATGATATTTCTTATGTCACTTTCAATACATTGTAATTTGTATGTGTGTCATGTTTGGGAGAGGCATTCAGATAAGCAAAATTTGCTTGTTTGCCAATCCCTCCACTTTATGGAAATACAGTTAACTACGGTTATAACGAACTCGAAGGGGCCACTTCTTTTAGTTTGTAATAACCGTAGTTCGTTAAGCATATACACAGCATTTATACAACAAATGGTCGGGACTAAAACATAAGTTCGTTATATCGGTCAGTTCGTTATAAGCGTGTTCGTTATAAACGTAGTTTACTGTAAATATGTTTATATCATATGTATACATGTATATATTTATATAATGTAAGGCATATTTTCATGCGAACATAATGTTGTTTTTCTCCAGCGAACGGTTTTTTAATTTGATTGCTAAATTAAAATATCAAAAAGCTAAAATATTTTGGTGCGTTTTCGCGAACGGGTTGATTTCATGTTGCATTTCACATTAATCAATTAATACATTGTAAATTGAGATTGGGATGCAGCGATCGTAATGTCAATAATTTGAATAGCTACATCGACGGTTGTTTCTATATAACTGTTATTGTAGTTGCGCAATGTTCCTTTTGATAGTTATTGTACAAACACAAACATGCTGAAATTTCATTTTAATAATATTCGTTGATTAAATTGTGTCGAGCATGTCTGTGAAACGGGACTTCTGATATCCGTTTTCACCGAAAAACAAATAATATACAGTTATTAAAACCAGGGTGTTTGTCGCCTTGCCAGGTGTTTGTAGTTAAAAACACTGGTTATCTTTTGAGGAAAAGCACGTAAATACATTATTTGATAGAAATGGCTTAATCTCAATTAATATTGTACGTGTGTTTGTGTGTTGGGGTGCAATCTTCATTATGCTAACAGGCGACACCCACAATCAAAACATCTGATCAGATTAGAAATATACTGCACTATTTTGTAAAGGAACCAGTGCATGGGCGTCAAAGGATTAACTGCCGTGACTTGGTGATAACATTTAACTGCCATGTCACCTACTGACACTGGTGATTGGTAGCAATAGCTGGGTCAACACCGATAGATGAGGAAGCTGGTGATTGGCTTGGCATAAAAACCAGTTCAAACTTTGCATTGCAGCGTCATGGTGAATAATAAACTAAAATTTATAATGAAAGACATCAGTGAAACATATGAATTTCAATAAGTATATATATCTCTATAATTTATCTGAACCAATTTCAAGCTAATACATACTTTTTTAACAACAGCTTTCTGAAGGTAATAATTTTACAAGCCAAAATATGATATTGCTTTTTATGCTTTTGTTCAGCTTTATCAATAAAGAATTATCTTATGATATAGTCTAATCATTTTATGATATAGACATTAATCAAAAGTCCCTTTTCGTGAACACCTGTCGTCATCACATTCGTGATATGATGCACGGACCTATATAACAAGTCCGTGACTGATGTAGAAATATTTATGCAACGACACGAGGGCCTGTGGGCGTCATCACTGATTTTCAGTGATCCATTCATATTCTTTCACCGCTATTTTGCCTTTTACGCTCAATGGAATCTGATTCGTCGGATAATCGAGACTGGTTATTCTCTGGCATTTTATATTTGCAGCAGAAACTGCAAAGTGTGGATTCTGTTCTTCTGAGAACCTCTCAATACAATATGTTGTGAAGATCTGTGTAATGCAGAGTGAAAAATAGCCTACAACTTACCATCATTCAGGAGGTAAAGCTGAGTTTTCTGTGTATTAATGTAATGTTACTTTTTCATTCGATTATCCTTTTAAGAATCTTACTAGCCATGGCCTTGCAGACCAGGATTATGATTAACTTCATCAGAGTGGTAAACATCTGAGACCCGCATCACTTCGGGTTTTCCCACATTAAGCTGACACGCTGTGATATAACTGAAATACTGTTTAAAGCGGCGTTTAACCCAAACTCACTCATCTGCGTCCCGATGAAAGTCGTATTTTAAACACGTGTAAAAAAAATTGCCAATGCAAGAGAATAACCTGTCTAGATAAAAGATATATAAAAAGGCGTGAAGATAAAAATTGCTGTAAAAAATATATACATGGATCTCTGAAAATCGTTGATGACACCAGGTGCTCGCGAAAAATAAGCAAATGTACATACACATCTGTGATTTTTTATGACATTACTGAACAAACACGAGTTAAGATATATACACTTTTATTTACATGTCATCACGGTAATCACTTCTCAAGCAAAGAAGGTTCTCGAGACATAATTGTGTCCATAAAATCGCTAATGTACATCTTCAGACGAGCATTTTCATACTGTTGGCGTTTTATAATTCGAATCATGTCTCTGATGTTCCTACTCCCCGCTTGCTTCCTGCTGCCAACACCTCTGTGACCTCCAGTCTGGGTTTCAGAGGTCTGTTGAAAGTCCTCATCCGCTCTCTCGTCTGTTGGGTCACCTCTAGCCTCGATCTGAGAGATCTGTTGGACGTTCTCATTTTCTGCTTGATCCTGGTCTTTGGCAGCAGAGACATCAGACACACTCATAAACACACTTCTTGTCGTGGTGGTGAACATATGCGGTAAGGCATCTACTGATCGCCATTTTGATAAATTAGAAACGTCTTCATTAACTTTGACATCTGTGTCACTAACTGTTGAAACATCGTCAACACTCAGGAACATACGACTTCTTCTCGTCATCTTACGAGGCAGTGCATCCCTCGACGGCAAGTTTGGAGCACCAAACGAAACGTCGGATGTCATTCGTTCAAAAGTGGTTTGGTTATTCTTCATCACCTCCATTTGTAGACGCTGATTCTCCCCCGCGAGTCTTTCAATAATGATTCTCTGTTCCTGAAAGTCCAAATCTCGCTCTTCGCCGGGGACGTCGTATTCAGCGAATGTTCCCCATGCGCCCTCTTGGACGTCTGTGCCGTTCGCGATATCAGAGTGAACGGACGAGACTTCATCACTAAAATTGATGCTTCTTCTTGGATGATCTTCAACTGGGGACGATGTTCTTCGTCGATCCGGAGATCCTGATCGTTTTCTTGATGTCGTTTTATCAACTTTCCTGCATTCTGGTCTAATAAAGTATAAAATAATTTTTAGAATTATAATGAAAACCATTTTTACACTGTTAGACACAACTCCGGCCATACTGTTTTAAAGTTCGTATATCAGACTTGGAAATATAGGTGTTGAAAAGCTGATATTTAGATATGTGAGGCAACTGCAGACCAACTTCATGTTTTATATCCGTTAATGAATAAATTTTCTAAAGAGATGGCACGATGAAGTTAACCGTGTCATATGAATTCACTGTCTACCCAAGGTCACTGTGCATCATTAATTAACCAGCTGATCGCCTTAAACCTTTTCGCTTGTCTTCTGATACCCAAAAGTAAAGAATAGAAAAGGACGCGTATATTGTCATCACAACCGTTAGCAGTATTTATTTTAATGGCATGTTTGGTTTATCAAGGATTTCTCTTAACGATCTCGCTTATCCTGTACAGTCAACAAAAACAGAACCGAAATCACCAGCGTCCAATTTGATGGATACGGCTTAATCTCAATCAGCTCTGGTACGGAGATAATCTAATCGGGATTCGCGTGTTACACCTGTAATCAAAACATCTACATGTGTGTAATCAGGTGAAATAAACGTTCGGGAAAGGGTTAAGGGATTAACAAGCATATGGATCTGTTGATTACATGAAACTGTCATGGCGTCTGCTGATTGAGTGTGTTCACAAGGGTGATTGGTGGCAATAGTTGAGTCTACTCTGGACGGTGTCATCTGCTAACCGCTGATTGGTTGAGCGTTGTCGTCTGCCATATATACCCCTACGTCTGACTGAAAAGTCAGTATTCAACTTTTATTTCGACATTTACATCGACTATCGGCCTTCGCTCGAGGAACCCGAGACTTTCAGATACAACTGAGTGTAAGTGGATCAGCTTCTTGGTAAATTAATTAGGATAGATACGTTAAAAAATTGCCCCTGAAGATATGCTTTAAGAATAACACATACTTTTCAGTAACGAATTAATTGAAGTTATATGGAAGTGTGGGGAACTGCCTATAACAGTGTATTAAAATAGAAGTTGGTTGAAGTTAGTAATATATCAATGACGACAATTCTGAATATTTTACCTTGAAAATTGTCTTAGATGTAACAATAATTCTAAATAATAGCGTGTAAATTCATTCAGTAATGAAGACAGGATTAGGTTGTGGATTTCAACTTTTTAATTTGTTTTAGTAGAACATTTTTTAAAAGTCGCTAAGTGTGTTCTGTATTCAGTTGATACCACAGCTAAATTCTGTTTACAGATTACTGTTTACGTATGTATTTTCACGTTTCCTTCACTCTGACACGTCTTGAATAACTCATCATCGTGTAAATCACCAGTTCAATGTCTGCAGAAAAAGGCGCAATTCGACCATATTATGACTTAACTCAAGTTAAATTTCATTTGTAGGTTGCTCCACCGTCAGAAATGAATGGGGACAGTCTGATAACCGGAATCACACCAAAACGGACTTCTGCTATTGTCCAGCCCATGCCACGACGCCTTGTCCCCATGAACCCACGACCTCCCACAGCAGACGACAGCGGTGGCTCAGATTCCACCCTCCCCTCCCCCGAGTCGTCCCCCGAGCAAGGTCACCTGCAAAGGTCACCTACCCGCATTGACCTACCACCCCGACGGAACACGGCCTTCAGTGTTAATGATCTCCTGGGCAGAACCGGGCCAATGAAACCGGAAGTCTACCCCTCCACTCCAGTGTTTCCTGGGCCCGCCTGTATGCCCCGGATGCACCCCTACCCGACATACCCGGCTGCTCACGTGTTTCCAAATAGGATTACCGATGCGAGAAAAAATCAAGGTAAGAATTTATTCGATTGAATTGGACCTACATATATTCATGACACTCGCTCGACAGTCCCAAGTAAGTCAGCGAGTATGGTATTGCCGCAATATCCCAGTAATATCATAGCGTGGGACATCAGAAATGGGCTTCACATATTGTACCTTTGTGAGGAATCGACCCCGGTCCTTCGGCGTGACGAATGAACTTTTTAATCTTGAGGCTACCCCACCACCCTTTGTCCCAAGTAAATAAGGATAATTTCTATGTTTTAAAAATAATTTTAAGGCATTTGTTGAAGCACGATGTAAAAATCCAACGCTTTGTTGGATGAAGGAAAATAATATCTATTTATGAAAAGGTTACATATTGTACACACTAAGTACACATTGCCAATCTTCTAAGAAGATCCAATTCTTACGATGGAAGAGAAAATCCTGGAGATGGTTCTAATGTGGAGTCAATAATTGAATGTATTTGTACATATACCTATTTATGTTTACACAATTTAAATCTTAATGTCAAAATGTTTTCTGTTTTGTAAGGTAAGGTGAAATTGGGTTTAACGTCGCGTTCTAGAATATTGCACTTACATATAGCGACGTGCACGCACATGTGTGTCGCAGTTTAACATGAATACCCCCTTCATGCCGAGCGCCTGACAGGGTAGCAACAAGTACCATCTTTTAACGTCTTTTGGTATTACGCGGCAGGGGATCGAACCCTGGATGTTTTCTTTGTTTTAAAAATAATCACAAGGCATTTTTTGACGCACGATGTAAAAATCCAAAGCTTTGTTGGATGAAGGAAAATAATATATATTCATGAAAAGGTTGCATATTGTACACATTGTCTCTTCTAAGAACATCCAGTATTTCCCCTGAAACAATTCTACTCGTCACTGTGTAGATAGCTGGTGCGTTGTATCTGTTAACAAATGATGGAAAGAGTGTAGTAATATAGCAGTTACCGGCTGTATTTATTTTTAATATTCTCAGTGCTTATGAATCATAGATAATACATGGTAATTTCACTTCCAGACATATCCACGTTGTGTGACAAGGAAGCAGCTTCCCCCCGAGACGACCCACCAAAGAGGATCCCGTCTCCAACACGTCCAAGACGTAGCCTCACGTCCTCCCCGGAGTCTCCCATTTCTGACAGTTCCATCTCGGACCCGAACAGTTCCACGGATCGCGACTCCAGTCCCCACCCATACAAGACCATCACGGACAAGAAGAGCAACCGCACCAATTACACACCCATGCAGGTCCGGCAGCTGGAGAAGATCTTCCTGGAGACTCCGTATCCAGAACATGAGGTCTATGAACAGTTATCCAAGGATCTATCCATCCCGGAACCTAGACTCAAGGTAAGAATCTTACCCAGGCCTTCTCATTGGGAGCATCCATATGTTTATACAGAATAGTTCTTTTGTATTGGATTGGAATCGTGTCGTAGCTTTTACTTTACAGTTTTGTTACATTTAACCCTTGCATACGAATTTTGTCACACATACTGTATAGATGTTTAAATTTAAAATATATACACGTTAAAAAAACAACTGTATCTACTATGCCTATATCAAACGCTGTTCGTAGTGTAACGAAGTGTGCGAGATCTTGTCACCTACCTTCCAGCATGGACATTGTCTTGTCAGACACTTGTTGTATTTTGTATATGTGTAATACTTTCATATACAATGAGTGAATGTTTATTTCAGACATGGTATCAATTCAACTGTGTATTTCTTCCAGGTCTGGTTCCAGAACAAACGCGCTCGATGCAAGCGCCGGGCAGAGGATAAGATAGCCTACCCTACACCCTACCCCTTCCCCATGATGCCGATGGCTTTCCCGTACGGAATGATGACGGGGGCATTGGGATCCCCGCCTGAATCTACCCCTCAGTCCATACCCAAGTCGATGTTTCCCTACGCCGCGTCCCCCTCCCCGCTGATGATGTACCCCGGGGCCGGGTACCCAAGTCACCTCTACCCATACCTCCACCCTCAGATGTACGTTCAGCAGTGAACGGGGTCAAATGTCATCTTAAAGTGCTTACATCATTGACACTGAACAATAGTCTTGTGAATAGTGATGTTGTCAATATACTAGAGAATTATGTTCACATGAATGTGCCAAGACACCAGAAAATATAGAACTTGTAGTGTCAGCCAATACGGTCTGAACCGCCATTGGAAGAGGGAATCTTACGATGGAAGAAAAAATTCCTGGAGATGATTCTGATGTCGAGTCAATAATTGTATGTATTTGTACATATACCTATTTATGTTTACACAATTAAAATCTCAATGTCAAAATGTTTTCTGTTTTGTAAGGTAAGGTGAAATTGGGTTTGACGTCGCGTCAAAGGTTATTGCACTTATATAGGGACGTGCATTCATGTGTGTGTGTGGCTGCTTGCACTAGTCCGGACTGATGCCGATTTATAGCGCTAGCCCACTGAGATACCATGTCGCAGTTTAACATGAATACCCCACTCAGACACAGTATACTGACTCCGAGCCGACTATTCCTTGTTTTAACCCCTTAGTGCCGAGCGCCAGACAGGGTAACAACAAGTACCATTTCGTGACGTCTTTTGGTATGACGCGGACCTCTCGGGCGGACGCTCTACCATTAGACCACGGAGGCGGTCTTCATATTTGACTCAGACACAGTATAGCCGACCAGTCCTTGTTTATGTCCCTTAATGCCGAGTGACCGACAGGATAGCGATGTGCACGCACATGTTTCGCAGTTTAACATGAATACCCCACTCAGCCCTTAATGACGAGCGCCAGGTAGGGTAACAACAAGTACCATCTTTTAACGTCTTTTGGTATGACGCGGCTGGGGATGGAACCCCGGAGCTTCCGCTGTACGGGTGGACGCTCTACCACTACGAAGTCGATCTGGATGTTCTGGCCGTGTGTACCCTTCAGATCTATTATTAATAAATATGTCTAAATAATTCTAAGGTTATATTTCGACGGAATATGTCGTCATATTTTCGACTTTTCTGGCGGGTTAACTGTAGCGACAGACGGTAAAGCTTTCTGTCCGTTTAAGGGCTAGGAACTGGACAGCCATCAGAAGGAGCGTCACACGACTCTATTTCCAAAGTTTTGATCAGGATGAGAACATGCACTTCCTTAGTAAGTTTTCTAAACGTTTTATGGTTTCCGCGCATCAGTGACCAATATAATATCCGAAGCAAATTTGAAATGTACCAACTTGACTTCCCTTTGCGTGCGTTTGTGACGGGGTGTCACCTTTTCGCGAACACCTAGTATAGCCTGTTATTACTATTTGGTAGTGATTCGTGAACACATGATATATTCGGAATCGTACAATGGACCTTTTGTCGCTTATATGTATTTGTTTGTTTTGTTTGTGTTGTTGTATGAAGCCGCACTCGGCAATATCCTAGCTATATGACGGTATCCTGTAAACTATCGAGTCTGGAACAGACAATGCAGTGATTAACGTCTTGAGCTTCACAATTGAGATACAGTATTAAGCTTTCTGGTCGCCGATGCTGCTGCGAGAAGGGTGGCTGTTTTTTCTGTCAGTTATTTGCTTCAATATACAGTAAAGTACGTTTATAACGAACACGCTTATAACGAACTGACGGGTATAACGAACGGATTTTTTTGTCCCGACTATTTGCTATTGTTAATGTATATATATGCTTATAACGAACTACGGTTATCACAAACTAAAGTTAGTGGTCCCTTTGAGTTCGTTATAACCGTAGTTTACTGTATTTGATCATTTCCTTTCAGGCCAACATTTTCCACAGTTAACGAAAAGGAAACAGATGTAGAATAATATCTGCTGTGAAACAATTTAATTTTGTTAAAGGGAAAATAATGTCAAGAATATTTCAGACGAGTTGCTTTTATCAAACGGGAATCTGGTGTGAACAATTTAAAACACGGTAGCCGAACCACTATGCATACTGACCATGGTTAACTTAAATACATGGAATATAGGAGACATGAAATGTATCATTCGGTACTGAAGAGACCACAGGCCTATAGTACACACACGGTATAAAGTGCAGAGTAGTGGAGTAAGGCTATTTCTTTGAGAGAATGCTTCTTCTGAACATCAATGTATGATAACTGAACATCGTCATGTCTGTAACAGTATATAACTAGCACTTTTTAACAACTTAAGAATGCATATTTGATACACTTAGGTTCAGCAGAATAGTAATCGGGTAGTCTGTCTTAATGGTGCATCTATCTGGTAATAGTACTCATCTTCAATATTATTTAGATTCCATATTTAGTGAAATCGGTTTAAGCGTGGAATACCTAAATATCTTCTCGTTTCAATACATGAATTGTGAACATCGATGTCGGTGGTGCTTTAAGTGTTTAGGTGAGTGAGTTGGGTTTAACGCCGCTTTTAGCAGTATTCCAGTTATATCATGCCGTGTCAGCTTAATGTGGGAGGAAAGCCCGAAGTGATGCAGGTTTCAGACGTTTACCACTTCGGTGAAACCCACGAGCACGGGTATGGTGCTGACAAACCTAGAAACATAATCGGGGCGAGCCGGGATTCGAACCCACAATCATAGGTTTCTGGCGTGCCAAAAGGGACGCAACTCTGCACAGCGCATCGCGGCGCCTAGACGACTGGGCCACCCGTGTCCCCTTAAGAGGTCGCCAGTCTCAGCTGTTCGTCTTTGGGACTCATGTGTGTGAGTAGGGTAAACATATCTATTGCGAGATTGGTGTTCGCAGAATTTCTGTTTTTGATATGATTTCTATTTTCGTATATTAATTGATATAATTTCATTTTTATCTTTGGCTGCTCTGTTTATATACGTTCGAGAAGCTGTACATCTCTTAGAAATAGTTAGTTTGGCCTTCGCTATTGCGTCTCTTGCCTTTAACACCGGAGTCGTGAATTGTTTATGTACGTACACTGCGACGATTGGGAGTTGTTTATCGTGCAATAAAACACGCAGGAAGAATAAAGCATGAGAGGCGCAACCCCGAGTGGTTTATTCTCCCTGCAGTGTTTTATTGTACTGAAAACATCGACCACGAGTCGTTTATTTCTATATATTGTTTTAATTTTCAGTTTACGCGATATACGGGTTTGCCATTGGACGAAAGGTCGGTCACATGACCGCAAAATTGACGTTCATTTAAGAAGCTCGGGGGTTCACACAGTTAAACCAGCGCGTTTAAATCGTTCACACTTCAATGACGTAACATAAGTTTGTAAGAGGTGCATTTCGAGTCGAACGGGAGCACGAGGATGAAATTTATACTTACTGCTGTTGAAAATGACGTTTATGGAGCAGTTATGGAAAACACCCCGACGCGTGAACCCTCTCATGGCACTAGCAAATTGGGAATATCACCGAAGTATGAATGTGTTACTTGTGTTTGGATAATCGCAAACCAATTCGGACGATGCGGAATGGACTGGTGGGGTTTGAACCGAGTGATCTGAGTCGTGTGTGTTTTATTTTCAACGTCAGGGCGTGTTATATTTGGAGTTTGGGATTTGTCGCGTGTGCTGTTACAGGTTACACACAACCAAATGTTTTCCCATAGACTTCTATAGTAACGTTATATCTTTTTAAAAAATAACTAGGCATTCAACAGCCATTACATTTACATATATGCACAGTCTGGCCTTAAAGCTGCAATAAAAACACAAATTTTGGCTAGGTTAGTCAGCTCCTTTTCCGAGTACAGGAAGCTGAACACACCAACCCCAGTTCCGCACCAAATGTCGCCTACTTGAAAATATCTGTGCTCACATAAAGCACAAGTCATCTTGTTAAAAAAGTCAGCACCAAATATTGAAAAATATGGGCAGTTTTAATTGCTGGATGGATGTACATTTAAAAGACATAAAAATCTTACACAATATCATCCAATCACAGCCTGCAGATGTCTCTTGATCTGCACTGAAGGCTCCCTACGAAAACCGCACTGTCACAACCAGTTCTGATTTGGTGTAGTAGAACCTATACTTTGCTTAGCTGGTGTTTCTTGTCACCTGAGGTGGGCCTACTGTATGACCTGATGCCAGCTTCATTACTGTGCCCCGTCACTCCTGATGTGCCGCCGCTTCTCGGCCTAGAATGCACGGAGAAGGTCGGCCAACTCAGTAACCGGAATAGTAGATTTCTAGTCTCCGATGATCAATCGATAAAACAGGTAGGTAAGTTTGGTTTTTGGTTTTTTTTATAAGTTTCTTTCCTTACCATTTTATGTTTTATGGTTTCTCAAAATCTCAGATTTGTTTCCCGATACGATAGTTTTAGTTTGGGATTGACCAGGAGCAGTCGCGTTTGATCTGTGTCAGCGGCCACATCTGAGCAGGGTACGACATTGTTTTCATTGGTGCTAGATTCCTGTCATTTCCGAAAACAAGGCATCAAAATAAATATCGCTCAATAAATCAATTTCGTTCACCTCAGTAATTTTACATAAGTAGTTTTCTTCACTTGCGTTATTAGTATTGAAAGATAGCCATTCCATATCCAAATCACCACAAGGACAATCCATTTTGTTTCATGTCGCAGCTAGACGACATCAATCACCAGAACCAAAGCATTTATTTATTCATAAGTCAGATGAAATGTTACAAGACCAGGCAAAAATACTAAATTAATTATATTGCTGATAAATGCAGGGATTAAATAGAAAATAGAAAACCGAGTTGATCGTAAACAGCGATCGAGAATTCGAGGAAACCCCGGAAAGTAGTTCCGGCAAAAGTTCACACGATCAATTTGACCAAAAAAAATTCACATCGTGTGAACTTTTTTTGTTCGTTCAAATATCCAAATATCAGATCACGTGACTATCCATTCAGCCAATCAGCATGAAGAATTGAGAAAAGTCAGAGAGCTTGACTGCATGATTGTTCACGAATATCCTCGCTACGGCCCTCCTAATGAGCAAACGAAGAAATGCACATCCAAAATATCGCATAGTATCGACTCGATGCGTGTCTAGGCTGACAGTGACCGTCTCCAGCAATCTATGAATTTACTCTAGTGTCTTAGTGCGATTTATCGTGTAGCTATCTTATATTGGTATAACATCGTAAAATAACGCGCCGCTATACAAAGTTTACAAAGACTTTCAAATA